GATCCTGACGGGTCAGGTCAACACAACAACAAATGGGTGAAGTCACTGTTCTCGAGAGAGATAGAAAAACAAATGCAGGGTCGGGCATGGTGGCTCAGCCTGTAATCCCAGCACTTTGGGAGGCTGAGGCGAGAGGATTGCCTGAGTCCAGGGGTTCGAGACCAGCCTGGGCAACTTGGCGAGACCTTGTCTCTACAATAAATCACAAAAATTAGCTGGATGTGGTGGCATGTGTCTGTAGTTCCAGCTACTTGGAAGGCTGAGGCGGAAGGATCTCCTAAGCCCAGCAGGTTGAGGCTGTGGTGGCTGTGAGTGTGCCACAGCACCCCAGCCTGGGTGATAGAGAATCCAACAAAAAAAAGAAAAAGAAAAACAAATGCATCTGAAACTGGAAAAAAGTAAGGCTTCCAGGCAGAGATAGGCAAAGGTACCAGATTTGGAGGCTTCTGTTGAGAATGGGGAACTGAGCGAAGGTGCATAAAGAGTGTGGACAGGTCTCCTGGGTCACAACACTGGTAAGGCAGTCTGGGGACTAACGGGAAGATCTTGAACAGTCAATTTTTAAACGCGAATTTTATTGCTGATTTTGAGTGAGGACCAGCTTAGGACCATGGCTCCAGCAGTACTGTAGTCGTGAGGCTGGAGGGGAAACCAGCCAGAAGCCGCCGGACTAGTTAGGAGGCAATGCCATGTTTGAAACCAGCTATTTAACTTGCAAAAAGGCCAGAACCTGCAGGTTAAGGAACGGATTGCAATCTTGAAGACGCACATAGCCTCCTGTGTTCAAAAATAGAAATATGTGAGCAAATACACATAGAAAAAAATCTGGTACTCTGCATGTAGTATTACACGACGTGTATTGCCTTCTTCCTCATTTTTCTGCATTGTTTATATATTTTTTTCAATTGAGCAAGAATTATTACTCTTCTGTTCAGGAAAAAAAAAAAAGTAGCTCCCTGGCTGCTCTGAAAAGTCGTCTTTGCCTGGCTCTCGGCCGGGCCCTCCGCTCGCAGCCGCCTCCGCCGCCACGGCCCCGCACCTTGACCTCCGGAGTCCCCGAACCCGCGCCCTGTTCAGCCCCTCGCGTGGGAACCCGGCATGCCCCGCCCACCGTGGCAGACGCAGCCGTGGACGCCAGCTCCGGGATCGCCAGCAAGGACCTAAGGGAGAAGGGAGTGTGTCCACTTCCATTGCCGAATCTCAGTGGGGTCACCTGGGCGCAGAGAGGCCCCCCCGGCTCGCCCTCCGACGACGCGCGCTCTCCGCCACCCCGCCAAAGCCATGAGCATTTGCAACCGGGGAGGAGAAAAGAACCCAACTTCCCAGGCCCTGCTTTTTTTTTTTTTTCTTTCATAAAAGTACCTTAAAAGAAAATTATTTCCGTTTTATATCTTTGTACATATTGTCAGGGGCCAGCCGTTTTTAATGATTTCTGCAATGACCAAACCAGCCTCTCCAGTGTCCTCTGTCCTCTCTCCTACTTTACTTGTGGTGTGACTGTGTTCATGATCATCTCAAAGGAGGAAAAAAAAAACTTCTAAAAAAGAAAAAACAACAAAACTTATTCCGAGCATTCCAGTAGCCTTTTGGTGTGTATGTACTTAGCTGTATGATTAGTTGGCTTGTATGAGATGATTAAAAAAGCCAAGGATAAAAAGTTTCCTTTTTTTTTCCTTTTTTGTCTAATGAAGTTGCTGTTTGTTTGTTTATATTTATTTACTTGTTTTTTTTGGTCTTTTGGATGCATGTGTAAAACAATGTTGTCCAACAATAAACCAGAATTGTATTTTGCTGAGTTGTTCTTTAAAAAGTTAAACTAAAAAGTTATTTCTTTAAAAAAAAAAAACACAATAAAGCTTTTTCTTCTTCTCAGAACGCAAAATGGTATCCTCTAATTGGGTCTCAGGTCACTGTGCTGTGAGTGGCTGCTTAAGTCATCTCGTAACCCAGGCAACCTGAAGGCAGGGGACACCGAGTTCTCCAAGTCTGGCCTGCAAGACATCACTTGGCTAGGGTTTCCATGGAATGAGCCTGAGAAGCCAGATGGCACCAAGAAAAACTGAACTGCAAATCGGTTGAGTCCTTTCTCTTCCTCTCTAGGTTATCTAAGCGTCTTAGGCTGCTGGTCCCCTTCCCTCTCCACTCTCCTCACACATGCCAGTAATATCACACAATTTAAGTGTCTTATGGAGCTCTAGCATAAACACAGAAAATACGGCACACGATGGCTCCAGTCTTCTCTCCTACCCACTCTGACCTCCTCCAAGAAAAGACAATAAAGAAGCATCCATCCTGTGTTTGCTTCTCTGAAGCTCAGTTCATTCAAATATGGAATGTCTGCTTTATCCAGGCAGGGCTAGGCCAGGGCTGCCAAGATGGGTGTCTTCAAAGAGGCCGGAGTCCCAGCGTGAAGTCAAGCCAGGAGACAGGCGATGACAAGACCTTGGAGATGTACCATGTTAGGGGAAATCTTGACTCCTTTGCTAGGGGAGCAAAGAACAAAGAAGGCCCTGTGGGGAGGGCAGCAAAAAGATCTACTGAGAAGGCGATGCTTAAGAGGGCTGGAGTCTGCCAAGCGCATGGCAGAGCAGGACGGGAAATCAACGCAGAGAAACCAGTATGCGTGAAGACTCTGCGGAGGGAGAAGTAGGTACATCTGGGTTTTGGCAGACGACTTATTTGATGATGTCCAGCTTTTCCCTAAGAAAACTGACACTACTTTTCAAGACACATCAGTGACGACCCCAAATTCACATTTTACCACGTGCCAGGACTCCCTAGATTTTGTTTCTCTATAGTCTCTTACTTCCGTAACTCTTCTGAGCTTGACCTGGTTTCCAACGCCTGCTTGTTCCTTGGGGCAGAGTCCTACCACAGCCTGGCCCCGGAGTTCCCTGGTTTAGAGGAATGAATCCACTTTTCCTCTGGGTACTTTGGTGTATGCTGGGCCTGGAAACTGGACAGCATGACACTATAACGCAATAAATGCTAGCTCGCTATGTCATTATGGTAGTGATGATGATAAAGGTGCCAGTGGTGCCGGTCAAGTGGCCTGACCTCTCCTGCCAGCGCAGAGGCAGCCCCTGGACTGGACACTGTGGGGAGGGAAAGACCTTGTGTAGACCCCACAGGGGGGTAATGGTGGAAAATGAGGAGGAATCAGAAGAGAAAGAGACAGAAGGAGAGACGGCAGAAGGAATGCATTAGGAAGCTGTTGTATCATTTCTCATGAGAGAAGCTGAGGCCTCCCCAGGGTCTGAGATGATCTGTAGATATTCATAACGTCAAGTTGTAAATAAATGTTGTATACAATGATCATAAAGCTATGCAGTTTCCTAGCTTTATGTTGAACATTGGATCAAGTGCCCACAGAAATGGACTCAAGGCCCTGTTTGGAGGGCTTCACAAGAGACGAGGCTGGTGGGGTAAGGAAGAGAGAGCTACGTACCCAGAGCTGCCCGGGAGGGACTGCCTGGGCAGTTCACTTTTTCCCCACCGAGGTCTGTAGGGCTCTACCAAAGGCAAAGGGCTCCCACTAACACTTGCTGGCCCTGGGGTGTCAGAATCAGTGAGTTTTCACACCTGATGGCCGACGCTTGCATGAGGTTAGACAAGCAATAAAGAGAACACAGAGGTGTCTGTGATGAGCTTTTGGCTTTGCTTTTCTCTTCTGGAGATGTTTTGTGTTGGGTCAAATTAATACTTGTATGTGTGGGGGAGTGTTTCTCTTTTTCTAATTATAAAATTAATGCATGCTTATTGGATAAAATTTGGAAAATACAAAAAAGTCAAAACTCAAAAATAGAAGTACTGATAAGACCACTAGTCAGAGATGACTGCTCTCCTGTTTGGTTTATTTCCGTTTCTTTTATTCATTTACAATATATGGATATCAGACAAACACACATTCACAATGTAAATATTAAATGTATGTTATATTTTAGACATTTAGATCATTTGATAAACAGTTTCATATCTTATCTCTTACACGTATCATTGGCATTTTCCTATGTGATTAAATGTTCATTGGAGACATTTCTTTTTAATTTCTGTACAGTGAAATTTGCTCTTTTTGATGTACAGGTGTCGACAAATACATAGATTCACGTAGCCACCACCACAATCAAGTCACCATCAAGAACAATTCTGTCTCTCCTCAAAACTTCCTCTCACTACCCTTTTGTAATCAACCCACTTCAGTCCTGATCACCCCCTCAAAACCACTGATCTGTTTTTCATTCAGTAGTTTTGCCTTTTTTGAATATCATATAAGTAGAATCATACAGTATGTAGCCTTTTGGTCTGGCTTCTTTCATTTAGCCTAATGCAGTTGAGTTTTGTCCGTCTTGTTGCATAATCAATAGGAGATACTTTGTCTTGCTGTGTAGGACGTTTGAGTTGATAAGCATGACTTTCATTTGTTGAATGATATTCTGTGGTACAGATATACCAAATCTTATGTACATGGTTTCACATGGTTTCAGTAAATATTATTGGACATTTTGAGTTTTCCCTCATAAATAACCATTAAACAAATATCTTGGGCAACCCCCTCAGGTTCCCTCCACTATAGGAGCTTTTCTGTCCTCTCAATAAATCTTGCTTTCTAAAACACACACACACACACACACACACACATCTTTGAATATAAATCTTTTCACACCATATATATATATCTTAAGCTACTAACAAGCATGCAATGTGCCCTGCTAAGGACATAGGAAAATATAGATGATATAAAATACAGTTCTATCAGAATTTTCTAAAAATGTTTGATTATATACAAGCCATCTGGACCTCAAAGCTTTGTGACATTACACAAATAAGAAAACAATATTTGCTTTAATTCTCACGCAGCAGTATGAACTTGCTAAATAAAACTAGTTTAATTTCTTGCTTCTAAAATTCTAAACACACGTGTCATTGAAAAATCATTTCAGGACATTGTCTTCCCAGGAGAAAACAAAAGCTTCTTCAGACAATAGGATCGATGACTGTCTAAGGGCAGGTTGCAGGGCAGAGGCTGGTTAGAACAGCACACCTGAACGCAGTTACATGTGAGTACCTGAGGCCAGAGCCAGGAAGAGAGGAATGATAAGGCCGGCGCTTTGGTCTGCATAGAGTGATGGGACTTCTCTTTGAGTAGACGCTGCTGCCCTACAGATTTAAAAGGAAATACAGAAAATGTGAGTATTGGTGTATGGCACCCACATTCAGAAATATACATGCACACTGTGGAAAAATTAACACACGACAGCAAGCTATAAAGTAGAAAGTAAAAGTCTCTTAGTCTCCCCATTCCCACTTTCCTTAGAGAATCATCTTTTATAGTTTGAGTTGTCTTTCCAGGTATGTGATACACACACACATGCATGCACACACAGAGATCCTTTCATCGAAACACAAATAGAACGTAACACCATATCATGGACTTACTTCCATGCTGGTACGCTTGGAGTTAATTCATTCTTTCCAGTGGACGTACCATAGTACTAACCAAGTTGTCTATGATGGACATCATATCAGAGTTTAAATGATGAAGAAAAAAACCCGTCATGACATAAAGATACCAAGAAAGAACCTGGCCAAACAATGGACTCTGTTCACAGCACTGTCTGATTGCTGAATTTTTTTGAAACAGAAATTATCACATTATTTTTAATCAATTAAAAGATGAATTTAAAAAATTAGGAAACCATCTAATGTTGGCTTAGAAATATATCCCATGACTATTAACATGTGGCGAGGTCCTTAAAATTACTGAGTCCATCTGAATGCTGGTTGCTCCTTTTTGGCTAAAAGAATGACTGCCCCCCACAAGTTTGTATTAGGGCCTCCCCTGCTGGGCATTTCTGCAATTGCACCTCTGATTCAGTTAATGTCCCAGACTTGATTCACTCAAAGTAGAAGAAAAGTATTTTTGTTTTAGATAATTAATTAACATAGCACTACTTTTATATTTTTTAAGAAAATAAATAACATGTAACTAAATACAGTAATAATGAGAGTCTCTATCTTTTTCTAATCCTATTCTCTTCCCTAGAAGAAACCACAGTTAGCAGCTTTGAGTTTTTCTCAGACCTATTTCTATCATTTACATCCATTATCACACACAAATGAGACATATAGCTTGTTTTCTTTTGCTTTATACATCTATGTCCATCTTTTATGCATTCGCTTGTCACATTGAAGCTTAACAAGTTTTTTTTTTTTTTTTTTGATCAATGTGAGGATGTACTTGAGGGTAGCTTTTATGCACTATTTGTAGTTACTTTGATTTAAAGACTTAATTTTTGTTGTTAAATTTATAAGTTCAAAAGCCTAATTTTCCCATTCACTTTTCTTTTTAGTTTATGCATCACATTATTCTATTTTAAAATACAGTGAAACCTGACAATAACTCTTAAGTGTGCTTTACACTTGTTTAATTCCCTTGAATGTTTTACACTCAAGTTAGCTTAGGTTAAATTATGTTAAACTTAAGTTTAAAATATTACATTTTTTAAAATATTTTAAAAATAATTTTAAATAAGAAAACTTTCACAAATACTTTATTCTAGTAAATCTAATAAATGTATAAATATTTCAAGGCTGGTTAAAAACTTAGTAATATTCTCTTATAATTTTCAGTGAAAAATCTCAAACCCCTTAAGTCAGTTACTTGATAGTTATACATAAACTTGGATCACAGAGCTAATCCAATAGCTATTTTTATATGGTAAATTATCTAAAATGTTGCAAAGAATTAAACATCAAAACATACAGAGTGTCCCTAAATGTGCCATAAAACTATTAATAATATGGGTGGACTTACATCAGCTGTTTATATCTGTTCTCTCATATCCTCACCAATTCTATAGATTATCAGTCTACTGAATTCTTGTCAATATTATAACTTATAAGCATGAAAGTTTGCTTTATTTCCTTCAGATTGTTCATGAGAATGTTCTGTCTTGTTATATGTACCCTACCAGTCCTTTTGGGGTTTTTTGTCTTGTTTTGTTTTTGTTTTGAGACAGGGTCTCACTGTGTCACCCAGGCTAGAGTGCAGTGGCATGATCACAGTTCACTGTAGCCTTGAATTCCTAAACTCAAGCAAGCCTCCTGCTTCAGCCTCCAAAAGTGCTGGGATGACAGGCACAAGCCACCACATCCATTGTCCCATCATCCTTAATGGCTACATTCTACTCCATCCAGTAAGTGAACTGGTTGATTGACCCATTCGCCTGACAGTAAATATTTAGGACCAGCTCCCAGTGTTTCAGTATTACACAGAATATTTTGTTGAGCATCTCTGAACACATGAGCTGCATCAACATTTTGAATCATTTCTTTAGAATATGGCACCTAAAGTCTATTGTAAGTCAAAGATTATGAATAGCTTTATCACACTTAGCACATATTGTCAAATTGTTTTTCCAAAGCACTTTACCAAGTTACAGTGGCATCGAGCATTGAATAATATCTTTAAAATATTTTTCTGCTATTTTTTAACATGATAAAAAAGTTGAAGTGAAAATAACACCTTATTGAATTTGTATATTATTATTAAAGTGATCAAATAATTTTGCTACTTTGCTATTTGTGGTTCCTCTTTTGTAAACTATCTACCAATATTCACTGGTAATTTTTTTTTTTTTTTTTGAGTTGAAGTCTCACTCCATCACCCAGGCTGGAGTGCAGTGGCACACTCACAGTCACCCCAGCATCAACCTGCTGGGCTCTGGCAATTCTTCCACCTTAGCCTTCCAGGTAGCCAGAACTACAGGTAAGCGTTCCCATGCCCAACTAATTTTTGATTTATTGTAGAGACAAGGGCTCACCAAGTTGCCCGGGCTAGTCCAGAACCCGTGGGTTCAGGCAATCCACTCGCCTCGGCCTCTCAAAGTGCTGAGATTACAAGCGGAGCCACCAAGCTCGGCCCATTGGTAATATTGAATAAACTGTTCAAAAAATAGATTAGCAAAATTCCTACGAGGGCAGTGAAGGTGGAGAAAAACTTGGCAAAGAATAAAACATGGTTTTATTCCTGACATTCAAAGGAATTGGGCAGAATTGTCAAAAATAAACCTACCAACATCACTGAAAGAATGCCAAAGAAAGAATGCCAAACAAAGAAGAAGGGGGTCAGTAACTCACCCCTTACTTACCTGTTGTTGTGTGAACCCTACTACATTCGAGGCAATGTGGTGTGGTAGGAAGAACAAGGACTTTACACACAGACCCGGTTTTGCTCCTGGCTCTAGCCAGTCCTGAGTGACTTTGAGTGAGTGCTTAATCTCTCTGAACCTCAGCATCACTGATGAGGATCAAATTGCCCACCTTTCAGAAACTTGGCTGAAACGAACTGAGATGATGACTCCTGGGTGCCCACTGGAAGTCCAACACATCCAAAGTGCTCGGAAACACTAAGAATAGGTGAGCAGCGTCACCCTCATTCACGTTACTCTTCCTGCAGCCAGGAGCAATACCAAGGTCCTGGTGTCAGCACGGCAGCATTTGCCCATTTGGGGAATGGAGATGATGGAGGGCACAGAGGGTTTAACAAAAAGGAATTTTACATGCTCTGTCTGTATAGGTCTACAGTCTGGTTAATGAGACAAGGAGAGAAGCCATATAGACCCAAGTAGCACTAACACCAAGACACTTTCATCTCTGGGCCTCATGAGATTTTAGGCTCATTATTAAATCCTCACAATAACCTTATTTCCCTTTTTTCCCCCCCCACCTGAGTGAGCTTCAGTGGTATTCTATTTTGTTCAATCAAAACGTAGAGCTTATGTATATGCTGCCATTAGACACTTCTCCAGAGGTCTTATAGAACATTTGCCATTCCTCCTGGCTGCCAGCATCTCTGAATGTCCTTTGTCTTAGATCTATGCCTTCCCAGGGTAGAAGCCAATCATTTGTTCATTCATGAATTCCCCTAAGTGTCCACCAGACTGCAAGCTCCATTCTAGAGTCTTAGAATATATATCCATCAATGAACAAAATATGCCAAAGTCCCTGCCCTCTTGGAGGTGGGAGACAGGCAATACACAGTGAACTGCATAAGTCAGCCAGAAGACAAACACTATAAGCCAGAGTTGTGTTATGGAGACTGTAGTTTTATTTAATTTTAATTTTTTAAAGACAGAGTCTCATTCTGTCACCCAAGCTGGAGTGCAGTGGCACAATCATAGCTCACTGCCACCACGAGCTCTTGAGCTCAAGCAATCCTCCCTCCTCACCCTGCCAAGTAGCTGGGACTACAAGAGCAAGCTACCATGCCTGGCTGTTGTTTAAAAAAATTTTTGTAGACAGGGTCTTACTCATTACCCAGGCTGGTCTTGAGTTCCTAGCCTCAAGAGATCCTCCTGCCTTGGCCTCCCAAAGCACTGGAATTACAGGAGTAAGTCACCACTCCTGACCAAAGCTGTAATTTTAAATATTGAAGTCAGGGTGGCCCCATGCATGCTTTGTAGATAAGAAAACTGCCTAATTTCTGACTCTAACTGCAGAGTTCTTACTACTGCCAAAAGAATGAGTGTCTACAGGCTTAGGGGCAGGAAAGCATACAATATCTTTAGGGAAATGGATACAACCAGCCTGAAATGAAAGGTGCTGGTGAAAAGCAGCAGGTGATGTGTCTGGGAAAAGCACGAAGAACCTGGAAGGTCAGGCTAGATGTATGAACTTGGTAGTAAGGAAACTTGGAGGTTTTAGAGCAGCAGGAATGTGAGAGTGGACTTCATTTTCAGCAGAGGAAAGGGAAGACCCAGGTCTGCAGACTCTTCTTAATCTCCTATGAGGGGACTAAAAATTAAATGAAATTAAATTAAAAACGTAGCAAGTTCACAGAGAATGAACAGCAGAACCTGTGGCACAGACTTAAATCTATCGCTCCATCACTGAACCCTGGTATGTTGGTTCCTAGTGTACATGCTAGAGATGATGAATCTGTTGTCCCAATCTCCAGTCCGAAAAGCACAACATCTGCCAAAGTGAATTTTGATAACTCCCAGACTCCTTCTGACTGTGGTCCTGCCCATGCTAGCTGGATGGTCTTGGGCAAGTCCTTCATTAGCTTCTCCAAGACAGTGTTGCTTTACCTATGAAGGGAGGATAATAGAACCTACCTACATTGGCTCAGATAAAGGTCTGGCTCCTGTCAAAGGGACCCCAAGTCACAGTGGCTTATAGAAGACAGATGCTTGTTTCTCTCCCAGTAACTGCCGGGGCTGATAGAGAGACTGCACGGTATGGGGGCACCCGGCCTCCTCCTGTAGTGTTGCTTGCTTGGCCGTGCCCAGTTGAAGATGGCACTCCTTCACACCTTCTAGGTCCCTACACCAGCCAGGAGGAATGGATGCCCGCCCCCCTTTTTTTAAAGAACGTATATCCCTTTTTAAAAAAAAAATGCTTAACCCAGAAGTTGCACACATCAGTTGGCCACAGCAGGAAGACAGGCTAGGAAGTACACTCATTATTCATGGCAGCTATGAACCCAGGTAAAATTCAAGGGTTCTATTACTAAGTGAAGAAAGGAAGAAGATATGGAGATAATCAGCCAGCTAGCTAGCATGTGTGCATGTTCTCTCTCGCTCTCTCTCTACCTAATAGACTACTTATAAAGATGAACAAAATAGTCTTTGTACTGTACAAAGTACCGTATGTACATGACTGGCATATAGTTAATGTCCAGCCCTGATTATTTCTCTTCCCCTTGTAGATAGAAGCACCTACTGGTTTTTAAGGAGTACCTACTATGTGCAACCATTATGAAGAATAGTAAGAGAAACACAAAGAGGAAGTTGATACAATCTCCAGTTCAAGTGAAGCAGATAGATGACTCAGAATGAACTATAACACAGTTAGGAAGAGGAAGGCAGTGTGATCGGATTGTGTCAAAAGTCCTTGGGAGCAAGCAAAGAGAAGGGAGTTCCTCAATCAACCAGGAGGGTGAGGAAAGCCCTAGTAGAAGGCACATTTGAATTGGGTTCTCAAGGCAAGTATGGTTTTAGCAAATAGGGAAGGAAAGGAAGAGAATTAAGGTGGTGGGATTGGAAATCTTCCTGCCAACACAATTTGAAACAACAGTAAAGCACCATGCTTTGCCCGTAAGACAGGCTAATAGATATAATATAGGTACAGGTACAGATACAAGATACAGATAGGGATATAAATTATACTTGGTGTTGGTGGAGGATTGGAGAAAGGGGACACTACACCATATACTGTTGGTGGAATTATATGCAGGCGCAGCCTTTTGGAAACATATCAAAATCTGGCAGAACACATCAAAATTTAAAATTCACACATCCTTTGGCCCAGCAGATTCATTTCTGGTAACCTATCCCCTATCCTACATAAAGGCTTGCACAGAGCTCAAGGTCTGAAATCTAGGATTATATCTCAGTGTCGTTTATAATAACAAGACAACTACTATCACAGCCTTCAACTAAGCCAGCCCATGACTGGGAAAGGATTACACTACGGCAGCATGTCCACCTTCAAAATGTTCTGTGGCCACTAACATACTGTGACAGAAGGTATGAGCAGACTTAAAAGGATAACATCATGACGCCATTAAGTGAAGAAAGCCCACAGCAGGACATTATGTGTAGCATGACTACTCTTTGTATAAAAATAAAGACAAATAAATTAAAATAAGACCAAACCAAAAAACAAAAGAACAAATGAAGAATAAAATAATGTCTTTTGCAGCAATCTGGGTGGATTTGGAGAACGCCATCCCAAGAAAACTAATACAGGAACAGAAAACCAAACACCACACGTTCTCACTTATAAGTGGGAGTTAAAGGAACTACAAAGGCATAGAGAATGATATGATGGATGTGGGAGACTCAGAGAGGGACGGAGGAAGGGATCGAGGGACAAAAATCACCTATCGGGTACAATATGCACAGGTGGTAGTGGTGAGTATGCTTAAAGCCCAGACTTCTTCCCTACTGTGCAATGTAACCATGTAACCAAAAGCCATCTGCACCCCCCCCAAAGTCACTGAAATAAGGAAAAAAATGGCCAGCCTCAGTGGCTCAGCCTGTCATCCCAGCACTTTGGGAGACCGAAGCGAGTGGATTGCCTGAGCCCGTGGGTGTGAGACCCTCGCAGGCAACTTGGTGAGACCTCATCTCTACAATAAATCAAAAATTAGCCAGGCGTGGTAGCGCACGCCTGTAGTTCCGGCTACTTGGAAGGCTGAGATGGAAGGATCACCTGAACCCAGCAGGTCAAGGCTGCAGTGGCCATGAGCATGCCACTGCACTCCAGCCTGGGTGACAGAGTGAGACTCCAACTCAAAAAAAAAAAAAAAAAGAAAGAAAGAAAGTAGGAAAAAAATTAAAACAAACAAACTTACATCTATATCTGATAACATGTGTATGTTTGTGCCCTGAAAACTTCTGGGAGATGGAACAAAATGTTAAATAAATTATTTTGAGGAAATGAGAACTGAAGGAAAGAAAGCCTCCTTAGTCATTGTTGCTATGACTAGATATTGGAAACAGTCTGAATGTCCACCTAGGAGCAATGGTGTTAAATAAATCATGACACTTGCACACGCCACACTACTACGGAGCTATTAGAAAGAATGAGGCAGGCTGGGCGCGGTGGCTCACACCTGTAATCCCAGCACTTTGGGAGGTCAAGGTGAGAGGATTGCCTGAGCTCACAGGTTCAAGACCAGCCCGGGCAACTTGGCAAGACCTTAGCTCTACAATAAATCAAAAAAAAATTAGCCGGGTGTGGTAGCATTTGCTTGTGGTTCTGACTACTTGGAAGGCTGAGGCAGAAAGATCACTGGAGCCCAGCAGGTTGATACTGGGGTGACAGTGAGTGTGCCACTGCACTCCAGGCTGGGCAACGGAGTGAGACTCTAACACACACACACACACACACACACACACACAAAACGCAGGCTGGTGGTGGTGGCTCACGCCTATAATCCCAGCACTTTGGGAGGCTGAGGTGTGAGAGGATTGCCTGAGCCCAGGAGTTCTAGACCATCCTGGGCAATTGCCTGGGCAACTTGGTGAGACCTCATCTCTACAATAAATAAAAAAATTAGTTGGGTGTGTTGGTATGTGCCTGTAGTTCCAGCTATTTGTAAGGCTGAGGCGGAAGGATCACCTTTGCCCAGCAGGTCGAGGATATGGTGGCCGGGAGTGTGCCACTGCACTCCAGCCTGGGTGACAGAGCAAGACTCCAACTCCAAAAAAATTTAAAAAAATTTTTTTTAAATGAGGCAGCTTTACCAATAAATTTGGAAATATCCCCAAGACATACTGCTGAGTGAAAAAAGCAGAATCCCATGTATATTATCATTTATTTAAATAGTATAAGGGAAATATGTCTCTGTGTGTATATGTGTTTTGTTACAGGCACACAGTACTCTGGAAGTATTATGCAAGAAACTGGAAACAGGGGTCACCTCTAGGTAGGGTAACTGAGAGACTCAGGCATAGAGCAAAAAAGACTGTTCTTTTTCTCTACCCCTTTATAATTTTGAATTTTGCCCCATGCACATTATCCTTTTTTTAAAAGAAATAATAAAAATTTAAATAAGGATTAAGAAATGGGCCAGGTGCGGTGGCTCACACATGTAATTCCAGCACTTTTGGAGGTCAAAATGGGAGGATTGCTTCAGTCCAGGAGATCAAGACCAGCCTGGGCAATATAGCAAGACCCTGTCTGTACAAAAAAATCAGCCAGGCATGGAGGGGCATGCCTGAAGTCCCAGTTCATGGAGAGGTTGAGGAGGGAGGATCACATGATACCATGAGTTCAAGGCTGTGGTGAGCTGTGATTGTGCCACTGCCCTCCAGACAAGGTTATAGAGTGAGACTCCAAGTCAAAAAAAAAAAAAGATGTTAAGAGGTCCTCCTGCTGCCCTACTCTTAGAATCTAGAATTTCTGCTGAAGTAAGAACTGCTGCTCCACAGTATATGTAAGAGTTTGGTTCAGCTGGGAAGACGTCTATTGAATCTCCCCAACCTAATATCTCAGAGAGATTACAGTGCAGTGCACAAGTATGAACTTCATACAGCCAGGCATTTTAGGAAGTGGGAGTAAAATCATATGCAATTTGCCAGTGTTCTATAATACCAAGGACCAATTATCTTGGGAAAGAATGGAGATTTGGGTTGAGACACTTACGAATTTAAGGCACAGCCAGGATGAGTGCTATGGTCCACACACTTTAAGAGCTTCACTGGTCTACAGAGACAAAAAAAAATTCAGGGGTTATTTAAATAACTTTCATTCACCAAACATGTATGATTTTCCTGCAAAGTCCTAGAGATACAACATCTCTAACCTCAAAGGATACACAAACTATTCTTTTTAAAAATATTAGCCAGCATTTATCAAGCACTTACTACGAGTCAAGACATTTGATTATGTATTTTGTATAGATCATATAATTGAATCCTCACAACAACCTAATGGAATAAGTGCTGTTATCTTCTCCGAATTTATAGTTGAAAAAACTGACCAGAGTATCTTGCTCAAGTTCGTACAGTAGCGAGCTGAAGGACTGAACCTGAGTCTTGCAGATTGGCCCCAGAGCCCAAGCTTGTAACCACTTCTGTGTGCATGTGCGACTGGTAAGCACTTTGGGCAAAAGGTTGGATTTGAAGCACATGGACGATGGCCAGTGCTCAGGCTCCCATAAAGAAAGCTAAATTGCTCGGCACGCTGGAGGGAGAAGATGTGCAGTCCCAGGGAACCAGGGGGAAGGGAAATCAGGCAGTGAAGACAGAGTCAGGTCTTGGTGGTACATAGGGAGGCGGGTCAGACAGGATCTCTGTGGCAGGATGACCGCAGGGGACTTTGGAAGAACAAGAAAGTTGCATTGTTCACTTTATAGTAGGCTCTGTGGTCTTTCCTCAGACTCGCCTACTTTTCAGTAAAATCTATGCAACATATATATATATGTTGCAACATATATATATATATGCATTTTTTTTTAAATGAGAGTAGTTTGTTGTTGTTTTATGCCCAAAACAGTCATGGAGTTTCACTGAGTTTTATTCAATACAGTGCTAGCAAAAACCAAGCAGGAAGTCAGGAAGGCTGTGAAAATATAAGGCTCCCCCAAAATGAGCAAGGATCTCAGGGAGAACCTTCAACTGATATGGGACAGAAAGCTGAGTCACCTGAAATGTGAGGGGCAGGAGGTTGTCACTTACATCCAGTTGGAGCTGGATTTGTTAACCTTTGTCACTTTCCCATGTTATGCCTTTTATTATAGCCTCTCTGCTCCCAGGAGCAATATGAAACCCTACCTGAACACAGATGAAGCCTATGGGCAGTAAAGAAACGAGAGCTCCCCCATTTCTTTACTGAGTCAGGCTTGGAAAAAAAGAACCCTGAAAGCTAGCTGAGTGGAACAACACTAGAGAGGGGGGAAGTAGGTGGAGACACAGGCTATAAAGGGAGGGAGCCCTTGCGCTCTGGCCTGGCGATCACAATATGGCTCCATGACTTAAAAACAGATGACCTCCTCAGGGAGAGTTCTGGGACCAAAGCAAAGTGGTCATGGAAGTGAAATTGTTAGCAACCATTTTCCTCATCATTGAAATGTTTTAGAGTAAGAATTTTTTTTAATTTACTAAAATCTAGTAAAGAAGGAGGAGCATGGTAGCAGGAGGGAAAAACCAGGCTTCAAGGCCATACAAAGCTGGGTTCAAACCTCAGCTCAGTTTTGTGATGAGTGTCACCTTGGGCGATTTAGTTAATCTTTCTGATTCATCCATTAAAAAAAGGAATCTATTAACTTATACAAAGGTAATATTTCTATAAAGCCTAAAGACAGATAAAACTTATCGATAACATTAAAAATCTGGATAGTGGTTACTTTGGGGTAGAGGATGTTGACTGTAAGGGAGGCCAAGGAGAGACCTGGGGTACTGGCTATGCTCTGTTTCTTGAGCTGAGTGCTAGTTGCAGGTATATGCTGAACGTGTGAACATCCATCCAGATTTGCACTCTTGGTGTGCAGATTTTTCTGTTTCCAGAAAAAGGTATTTGCTTTGTTTTGCTTTTAAAAAGATGCAATAAACAACAATTAACTTGTAGTTTCCTGGGAGCACTGGCAATAATAAATGACTAAAATGGTACAGATAACAGAACAGTTTTGAGATACTCCTTTTCTCTCTCTCTCTCTCTCTCTCTCTCTTTTTTTTTTTTTAAGTCAGTGTCTCACTCTATAACCCAGGCTGGCATGCCGTGACATGATCACAGTTCACCACAGTCTTGACCTCTTGTGGTCAGGTGATCCTTCCATCTTAACCTCCCAAGAAACTGGGACTACAGGCATGTGGCACCATACCTGGCTAATTTTTTAAAGATTTTTTGTAGAGACAAGGTCTCACTATGTTGCCCAGGTTGGTCTTGAACACCTGGACTCAAGCACTCCTCTGGCCTGCACCTCTCAAAGTGTTGGGATTACAGGCGTGAGCCCTGCACCCAGCCAGGTGCTCCTTCTCTTGAGGAGGCATGGAATGCAAGAGTGGTTCACCCTTTTAGGTGACTTCGCTCAGCTGGAAGAACTATCCAGCCTGAGAAGCTTTTGGAAAGGCAGAGTTCAGCAGAGCAACAGGGTGATCATGGGTGTGGGCCAGAAGATCCCTGATGTAATTTCCACCCCGCAACATGCAGAAGCCTTCAAGATTTTGCAGTGTTGGACTTCAGCCCACTCCATAATCAACCGGCTCTCAGACTTAAGGGCTGAGGGAGTAAGAAGCCAGAGGCAGGAAATTTGAGTCCAGGGAAGGGTTCACAGCTACCTCAGGGTTTAAACCAGGTTTTTCTTCTAAATTTCTAAGCAGGAAGACCCTCGAGTGATATCTGATATACAATGTGTCTGGCCCATAATGCACTCAATACATGGCAGTTATCATAGTTTCTTATTGGTCTGTGGTCAAGATGCATCTCTTGGTAAATAACTCAAACTCCCACCTTAACATTTATCACAGAAGGATTCCACAGGGATCCACAGACTTAAGAAGCTCAGTCCCTGTTCTCCAGTGACTCACCACAGAATAAGCACGGCGAGAAGAGCGGGCAAATGAGAAAGTGCTGTTCTGTGTGTCCTTTAGCCACCATTAAAATGGACTCTGCACAGAAGTGAGTGGGGCCCAGGCTGAGCAAGGTCAGAAGGCACTACCCAGAGGCAACAAGCAGACCCTCACCCCACACCTTCAGAGCCAATACCCAGCAAAGCCCTTTCGGCAGACCACCCCCTCCAAAATCACACTCCCTCTTGAGCATGCACAGACAGTGATTACATAGACCACCTACAAGTGATCATTAATACAGCTGTACTGGAACCCCATTTTCTCCAGCCTCTCTTCCAGGATTTTCACACTGCCTTCTCCGCAGGATTCCCTAAAACACAAAAACATATATTTTATTTATTTTATTTTTTTGAGTTGGAGTCTCACTCTGTTGCCCAGAATGGAGTGCAGTGGCATGCTCCCAGCCAACACAGCCTCGACTTGCTGGGCTCCGGCAATCCTTCCACCCCAGCCTTCCAAATAGCCACAACTACAAGCATGCACTACCACGCCCCACTAATTTTTGATTTACTGTAGAGACGAGGTCTCCCCAAGTTGCCGGGGTGGGTCTCAAACCCACAGGCTCAGGCAATCCACTCATCTCGGCCTCCCAAAGTGCTGGGATTACAGGCTGAGCCCCCGAGCCAGGCCAAAAACATGTATTTTTAAAATAAATAAACAAAATAAGGAGAAGAGGAGGAAGAAGTTGTTTCTGGGTTTCTTTTGACCGTGTGCTCTCAGATATTCTCTCAGAGGAAATACGGCCTAGCGCAATGTTGCCAATTTGTGCAACCCATAGTGTGTTCACTTTAAGCTTCAAATTACCACAAAACCATACAAACTTTAAAATATTAGAAAATGCAAATAAAAAGAATTATTCCAAATCTCACATCCCTGGAGATAACTGCTGCTAATGTGTTAGTTTATATCAACCTAGACTTTTAAAATATATTTATTCTCAAAAAACTACAAATAAATACATACATAAATAAGCCAGGCATGGTGGAGTCCACCTTGTAGTCCCAGCTACTCAGGCTGAGGCATGAGGATCCTTGAGCCCAAGAGCTTGAGGCTGCAGTGAGCCATAATTGTGCCACTGGAATTCGGCTTGGGTAACAGAGCAAGACTCTGTTTCTAGTAAAAAATAAAATATAGCAGTGTGTGTAGTATTCTGCTTTAGCCCATGTTTATGTGTGTGTGTATATGTACACACATATATATGTAGGGATTAAAAATAATTGCAAAGAAGTATGTATATACATATACGCATATACACACATATATATACATACACACATATATATGTGTATATACACACATGTGTATATATACCTTTCTGTGATTATTTTTAATTCCTGCATAGTCTCTGTTGCAGATTATAACGCACAGAACCAGTCTCCTCTTGCTGAAGACCATGGTTGATTCCTATATTTTGATGCCACTTACACTACAACAAACCTTATTGAAACTTCATTCTCATATACATTCTTGATTATTTGTTTCCTCAGCACAAATTTCTGAAAGTAGGTTTTCTGGCCCCAATGTTTTGAACCCATTTTAAGACTCTTCATAGACACTGCCACATTACACCTTGATCGAGTATGAGAGTGTCCATTGCCCACATACTCCCCAAAAGTGTTTTTTCTCTTCCTTAACTGATGGTCACAATTAAGCAGGGAGAATTTATAAAGGGAAACAGAGGTAAGTGCAGCACTGTCAGCCACGGATAGTATGGCGGACAGCAATAACACAAGCATATCCTGAGAATGACCCTATGGTCTAAGAAGAACATTTATTCAGAGTTCAGAGCTAAGGAAACCAGGAGTGGCCAACCCAGAGGTTGACTCTTTGTCTATGAAAAACATATGGACTCCTGGCTCGTTCCTTGGGGCGCATTTCTTGGGATGCAGGAAGTGCAAGGGACTAAGGCCCTTTCTTTTGCGGTGGGCAGAGGTTACTATATAAACTGCAAGTCTTTTGTAAGAGGCCAGCAGCTAACAATCCAGCTGGCCACTCCTGTACCCCTCTGTGTCCCCAATAAACCTAAATCTCACCTGTTGTTGCCAGGTCTTTTCTTCAGCTCTTGGGCCCTGTGCTGTCCCTACTCAATTCAATAGGCATATAACCCTACAAATAGTAAGCCTGGCAGGAGGTTGGAGAAAACCCCATGGCACCCAAAGGATGGGATTAGGGAAGGGAAATCCCAGGCTAGCTGTCCACATCCACGTGGGATTCGATCCTAGAGAAATGGAGTCCACTGTGTGAGTACCAGCACACCCCGAAAATGCAGAAGAGTCTGGAAGAGCTATTGCAGGGGATAGATTCAACTAAGCAAAAGTTGGATGCCGGAGCCCTTGCAGCTGGGAATGGCTGGCTGCTCCCATCAGTGCTCAGAGCAGTCACAGAGGCTGAACTTGGGGGACAGGAGAGGGTGAGTCCGTTTCAAGACTAGCTGCGACTAGAAACGGATGCTACATTTGCTGAGGCTGAATTGCTGGAGACCTTAATATCCCACCTGCAGGAACAAAATGATAAAATGGAAACCCTGGCCTGTTGGGTGGCTCCGTGGCTCGTTTGAAGGGCCACCGCCTGCCACATCAGCGAGTAAGTCATCCTGGGACCCTAAGTCTTGGAAACCAAGAGAGAGCTCTAGTGGGGGGGGCGAGTGAACACTGGGACAAGCCCCTGGAGGTTCCCTACATGCGGCACGCTCAGAAGTCACTACCAAGAAAAAGGCAGACCAACCACACCTGCGGGAAGCAGTATCGCAAGACCTGCTTGCTCCAGAGAGGGGCAGCACACCATATTGAGAGATGACATTGCTGCAGCGTGAGTGGAGCTGATCCCAGGGGGGTTTCTCTGCTGACAGGATACCTGGGCAGAAGATACTAGACTCACAGGGACCGAGATGAGCAAGGCGGCATTGTTAACGACCCACCCGGCCCTGAGACAGTGCCCATGTGGTGCAATTAACAAAGAACGTGTCATTGTCCTCCTTAGCGGGTCAGTGGCAGACCGCATGATTTGCACAGACATTTCAATAGGGAAAAATTACTTATCTTCATGTTCTGACCCCTGGGGAAAGTTGTATTTTTCCTGGGCAGCAAGCATAAGAATGTGATCAGATGGCCGGGCTCGGTGGCTCAGCCTATAATCCCAGCACTTTGGGAGGCCGAGGCAAGTGGATTGCCTGAGCCCGTGGGCTCGAGACCTGCTCGGGCAACTTGGTGAGACCTCATCTCTACAATAAATCAAAAATTAGCCGGGCATGGTAGCGCATGCCTGTAGTTCCAGTTACTTGGAAAGCTAAGGCAGAAGGATCACTGGAGCCCAGCAGGTCGAGGTGGCCGGGAGCATGCCACTGTCCTCCAGCCTGGGCGATGGTGTGAGACTCCAACTCAAAAAAAAAAGAATGTGGTCAGGCTGTAACACTGGGGTGGAGTCTATGGCAGTCAGTAATAACACAAGCATATCTTGAGAATGATCCTATGATCTAAGAAGAATGTTTGTTCAGAGTTTGAAGCTAAGGAATCCATGAGCAGCTAACCCAGGGGTTTACTCCTTACCTATGAAGAACAACTGAACTCCTGGCCCATTCCTTGGGGCACAGGAAGTTCAAGGAACTGAGATTCTTTCCTTTGGGCTAGGTGGAGGTTGGCATATAAACTGCACGTCTTTGCAAATGCCCAGCAGTGAACCCGTTCAGTTGGCCACTCCTGGACCCCCTCTCCTGCATATAGGTCCTCAATAAACCTATGTCTCACTCACTGTCTCCAGGTTGTAAACCAAAAATAAAATTTTAAGTCCCCCAACTGATTGAATGGACCTCCGGAGAGCCAAGAGAAACCCCAAAAAACTAAATTCCAGGCCATGATGGAAAAGGAAGTTAGACATGCCTCTTAATACCCCATCCCTTTCGAGTTTTAGGCTCAACTGACTAGCACTGACATTGAAATAGAGACCACAAAACTGACAAAATAGACTCTGTGGCAATTAGATATCCATATATCTGAATCTGATATAGCATCACAATAATAAGGCAGGCCCTAAAGAAAATGAAAACATTTTACCCAAAATATGTTTCTTTGACATACTTAGAAGTGACCTTGCAAAGTTATCTCTTGGGGAAATTTACATCTATAGAGAATCTCCTTCTCTGGGAAGAGTCTGACACATTTTAGGACATTTGCTACCTACTTTCTCTGAAGCCTGTTACTTAAAGCCTCCATCTACATGGCAGGAACCTTGGCTTCCACAATCCCCCTCATCTTAATTCAAGATTTCTTTTTCTGATTTCAAATCCCTTAGACAGAGCTTAACTCTTTCAAACAATTGCCAATCAAGAAATTTTTGAATCTACCTATGGCATGTAAGCCTACCCTCTTCCAGATGTCCCACCTTTCCTGGTCCAACCAATGTAAGCCTCACATGTACTCATTTATGGATTTTGCCTGTAACTTCTGTCTCCCTAAAATGTATATAGCCAAGATGTAATTCAACTACCCTAGGTACATGTTCGAGGACTTCTTGGGACACACTCGTATTTGGCTCAGAATAAGCCTCTTTAAATATTTTCGTTTGGCTTCTCCATCAACAAGTTCTTTTCTTTGTTTTCTCGGACGCTGTGCCATCCCTCCTCAATTGGGCAGGGGTACATGTAAGCCCAACAGCATAGTGTTTCTATTATAAGCTGGGCCTTGCCTGAGTTTACATGGAATGGAAAAGTAAACAGTCTTGCCACCATAAAATTAACAGAGAAGAAGTATACAGGGAGGAAGCAAGCAACTGGAAGTTTTCACAAAAGTGGAATTTCTGGCATTTCATAAGTGAAGAGAGCCAAGTGTTCAGTGACATCATTTTTTAGAACCTTGCCAAAATCTGAAATGATGCCTGGGCCAGGTTACCACTTAAGATGATGATGATCATGATGATTTTAGTAAGCAATTACATTTAGACTCCAGGAGACCTGGACACAGAGATAAGTCAAAGGGTTGTTAATATAACAAAGAAGCATGGTGCTTTTTTGAATAAAGGCAGCCAAAGCCAAGCTAAACACAATCAGGTGTTAGCCATGTTTTTTTAAGCTCTCTGGCTATGAGTTTTTATTTTTTATTTTATTTTATTTTTTGAGTTGGAGTCTCACTCCTTCACCCAGGCTGGAGTGCAGTGGCACGAATGCTCACGGCCACCCCAGCATTGACCTGCTGGACTCCAGCGATCCTTCCGCCTCAACCTGCCAAGTAGCTGGAACAACAGATGCACACTACCATGCCTGGCTAATTTTAAATTTACTGTAGAGATGAGGTCTCGCCAAGTTGCCCGGGCTGGTCTCAAATCCGCAGGCTCAGGCAATCCACTGGACTCGGCCTCCCAAAGGTCTGGGATTACAGGTTGAGCCACCATGCCTGGTCTGAGTTTTTAAAAACATTTTATTATGTACATTTGAGGTTTACAGCAGTATTTCACTGGATACCTATAGATCAAAAAATGGTTACTACAGTGAAGTAGATTAACATAGCTAGCTCACATCAGTACTTTTTGTGTGCGACAAACACAGCTAAAATCTTGTTTAACAATACTCCCCAATACGCTGCAATTTTATTAACTATAGACCTCATGTGTCTTCCCCAATATCTGGGCCAAGACCCCCACTTTCCTAGCTCATGACTTACAGTTACACCCTGTGGCTCAAATGTGTAACCAGGTGTTCTGACCATGTATAACCTGTCCTGCAGCAGAAATGATAGACTAGCATGACACTGAATTGCAGTTTCCTTATCTCACTAAAGGTAGGTCCAGAGGACATGCTTTTTCTGATAGATGCATTAAAACAACAAGTATAACTTCTAGACAAAAAAGAAACTTCTTCCAAAAATAAGAAAAACAATACATGTTTTTCATGTAACAAGAAGTATAATTTGTCCTCAGGATAGGGAAATGCCGATCTTGATATCACTTAGGTAATTAAATAGTTTGCAAATTTATTGCAATCTCTTGTCCAAGAGATAGGGAAAAAATGTATATAACCCATTATTTGGTGAGTCTTAGAGGATCCCAGGAGGTGGAAATAAGGAATTTGCTGATGTTCTCCTAAAACTTTTTTTTTTTAAGTTGGAATCTCACTCTGTTACCCAGGCTAGAGTTCAGTAGCACAATAATGGCTCACTGCAACCTCAAGCTCCTGGGCTCAGGCAATCCTTCAACCTCAGCCTCCTACAGGCACATGCCATTATGGCTGGCTAATTTTTTTTAATTTTTGTAGAGACAAATTCTGGCTATGATGTACTGGCTAGTCTCAAACTCCTGCACTCAAGTTATCCTCCTATCTTGGCCTCCCAAAGTGCTGAGATTACAGGTTTGAGCCACTATACCCAGCCCAGAACAATTTCAAGGGCACATTCACTCCTTGAGGTTGGCAGTACTTTCCTTCATGTAACATCAATGCTCTGAAGAACAAGGCCCAGCTTGCCTCAGAAGCGCCATCACAGCAGTCCAGCTTTAATTAGGCTGTAGCCTCATTGGCTTCTCTTTGAACCAAATGGGTTTAACTTTTTTACATTTTCAATTAGTGCCAGCAGTGCCTTTCATTGCTCAGGAGGATGAGTTCAAGCTTGCATTTATCTATAAACTCCAGTGGCTTCTCAGAAAATATGGATCATAAGGTTTATTTGGGCCAGGAACAGAGACTCATGCCTATAATCCCAGCCCTTTGGGAGGTCCAGGAGGGAGGATCGCTTGAGCCCAAAAATTAGAGTTCAGCCTGGGCAACATAGCAGGATCTTGTCACTACAAAGAATAAAAAAAGAAAAAATTAGTTGGGCATGGTGGCACGTGCCTGTAGTCCCAGCTACTCAGGAGAGTGAGGTGGAAGGACCACCTGAGCCCAGGAGGTTGAGACTATGGTGAGCCATGATGGTGCCACTGCACTTGAAGTATCCTTGGTGACAGAGTGAGAGCCTGACTCAAAATAAAAAACTTATTTGGTCAGTTATTCAAGACCCAGTTGAGGACCTGGTTTTCTCTAAGAATAATATCTTCATCATAGATTCCCTGGGTTGATTCTGAGAACTCCTGGCAAGGACTTTTGGACTTCAAATGACCAGAGAAAATAACTAGCTTCAACCCTCACAAATGCATAAGGAATTCACTTATCCAAAGCTGCCCAAGTCACTCAGAAAGGAATATCATTTCCCTTGGTCAAGAGGAGTATCCTGGAGAAAGGAGGTTTTTCTCTCTGGTCTCAGGACTGGCTAGTGGCATTCTCAAGAAATCAAGTCTTTACAAAGAATATGCCTTTTCATATTTAAAAAAAAGCAAGCTTTTTAATCATCATCAATATCAATTATCATCATCAATATTGCTGTAACTTACACAATGGGTCCCCCAATCTCATGCATAACCCAGATCTCAATCCATGTAATTTTATCCTTCTGGAAGTTTGGAATTTCAAAATCTGCAAAAAAACTGAAAAACAGGGGGAACATTTCTTTTAAAAAAAAAAGTAATATGATAATTTTTCCATTTCAGTTGTTAGTTAGTTTACACATTACTTTTTTTATTTTTTAAGCTCTTAGGAATGTTTTCAGCTTATGCTTTTAGGCTACTTATTTTATTCATGTATTCATCAGCTATTAATGACTTAACTCTATAGACATGGCTCTGACCACTAGATTAATCATCTGTTTTGCTTTACCTGAATTTGTAAAGCAAGCATTAGATAGGGATGAGGATGATTCTGTTTCGCTTCCATTCAGGACAACTAACTAGACATTCTGGCATTCTGGGTTGTGTCTTTTGGCGCAGGAGTTCTTACCCTTTGACGGGATAGGCTCCTGTTGGTTCTGAACCGTTCAGCATGACGTGGATCACCCCAGAACTGTCCTTTGAATACTGTGAGAAGAACCAATTATTATTAGCAAATAAAGACATCATGTTTTGGTATGAAATAAGCATTTTAAAAAAACTAAAACCTGTCAATAATGGCAAGAACATGTAAATTTGGTATTTCATACGGCTACTGGGGTGCAAACTGGTTTATTTTGGAAAGCAATTTGCCTTGAAACACCGAAAACACATGAGGTTCAGTAATCCCATGTCTGAAAATCTACCCTAAGAAATGAAATGAAATAACACAATATCCTGGTCGGGCTTGGTGGCTCAAGCCTGCAATCCCAGCACTTTGGGAGGCTGAGGCAAGAGGATTGCCTGAGCCCACGGGTTCGAGATCAGCCTGGGCAACATGATGAGACCTCGTCGCTACAAAAAAGAAAAAAAAAAGCCTGGAGGCAACCCCCTCAGGTCTCCTCCCACTGTGGGAGCTTTTCTGTCCTCTCAATAAATCCTGCTTTCTCACTAAAAAAGAAAGAAATAACACAATATCCTATCAGTTGGAATAAACTAGGTTATGTTGTCACACCAAAGAACCTTAAAATTGCAGTGGCTTTAAACAACAGAGATTTATTCCATTCTCATACTACAGGTTTATCACAAGCCCACTGGGACTTTGTTTCATATGTTCTCACTCTGGAACACTTATGCAGTGTTACTGATTGTCAGGGAAGGGAGAAGGGGAAAATTGCCAGTCATGGACCCGTTCTTAGAGGCTGCCACCGGGAAGGCTTCCACACTCCTATTCACATCTCATTGGCCAGTGTAAGTTATGTGTAAATAACTTCAAGGAGCAGAAGACTGCAAACCAAAGACTCAGAAGACAAGCCAGAAATACTTGGCAAAGAGCACTGAGGACTACTAGGGGCACTGTGCCCAAAGATGTATAGTGAAGCATGGTTTATAATACTGAAATACTGTAACCAAGATGAACCACTCAACCACAAGGGAATGGTAAGTAAACCATGGTACTTACGTGTCTGAAATATTCACCAGCCATTAGTAAAAATCTACAAACTATTTGTAACAGCCTGAGAAATGCTTAGACTCAAAACAAAGTGCAAGCTTAGGTGGACAGGGCATGAGCTCTACTCTGTTAAAAAGTAATAAATAGACAGATGTCTGGGAATACCCAAGGAAGAGGTAAGTTCAGAGAAATTCCCAAATCTCCAGTTCATAATACTACTGGGGTAATTTCCCTTATAAAGTGTTTATCTAGAGTGAAGGCAAGGGTAGAGGCGAATTATGTAGCACTGAAATACACATGGCTGGGTTTTCTCTCTAGCAAAGTGACACACAATACCACCTGCACCAAAGCAACAACATACTCCCTGTCATCCATGTCTCAAATTGCTTCCAAAAAGTACTGACAGTCATAGTGATATCCTTAACGCCAAGGCCTGATGTCCACCACGTTACAGGGGTTGCCTTCAGGTTAGCAATATGGATGACTAATTTTTTTTTATATTTTCTGTATTTGATATTCTCTATCATGAGCAGCTATTACTTTGACAACAAGAAAAAAATTAATTTTGAAAAATGCATGAAGATACAATGAGGCTGTATAATGTAGTGGCCAGAAGTTTGGTCTCTGGAGCCAGACTGCCTGGTTTGAACCCTGGCTCCCCCACTTGTTAGCTCTATAAACCTAGTAAAGTTTCTTGACCCCTGTGTACCTCACTAAACCCATTTTTAAAATAAGGGTATTAGGAATCTCTGCCTTGCTGGGCTCAATGGCTCAGCCTGTAATCCCGTGCTTTGGGAGGCTAAGGTGAGTGGATTGCCTGAGCCCACTGGTTCGAGACCCGCCTGGGCAACTTGGCGAGACTTCATCTCTACAATAAATCAAAAGTTAGCCGGGCATGGTAGCGTGCGCCTGTAGTTCCAGCTCCTTGGAAGGCTGAGGTGAAAGGATCACCGGAGCCTAGCAGGTCAAGGCTGCAGTGGCTGAGAGCAGCCACTGCACTCCAGCCTGGGCAACAGAGTGAGACTTACCCAAAAAAAAAAAAAAAAAAGAATGTCTGCCTCATAAGATTTTTGTAAAGATGAAAACATTTAAATTAATAACTTTTTACTGAATACCTATCTGCCAAGGTTCACTTTCCTTGTCGCTGTACCATACTATCTCTCCTCATGCTTTGACAACCCAGCATAATCTAAGAATTCAAAAAAAATGCAGGCACTATTATATTAGAGAAGTATATAAGACAGTGGTTTAGAGCACACACTTTGAAGTCTGCAGATCACTGGCTAGAACACATGGTTTCCTTACATGCTGACATCTCGCCCAGGTCACTGTTTGATCCCACTTTCAGGTTATGACACATCTGCAGCCTCCTAATTCTCAGTGAGGGGCTCTGGCAGCCACTGCCAGCTATCTGGACTCTGCACTCAAGATGAAACCCATGGGGAGTGGAAGCCAATGGCAAGCATACTAGGGCTGGCAGGAGAGCCCAGTAAACAACAGGATGTCTTTTGCCTGGAGGAAACCCTCTGCTGAGCTCTAAAATGCTGCCATGACAAGGGTACCTGCATCATCAACGTTTGTATACCTAGCCCTGAGTTGTACCCCACATCTTTGTCATAAAAAAAGATAAATTCAAATTAAAACAGCAATAAAAAATAAAATAAAAATAAATAAGATGCAGCCATGGAGGAGGGTGTGACCACAGTCCTTCTCACCCTGGCTCACAGGAGACCCAGTGGACACCTGGGGATCCAGAGGAGAAGACGGGACCCAAAGAGGCATGGATTGTCCTGGAAGGGAGGGTTGGCGGTGACAGGTGGAAGTACCCTAATGTCCATCTGGTCAGTAAGCAAACATTTAATAGACAACAGCTCTTCTTTTCACCTTCTTTTTCTTAGAAACAGGGTCTCACCATGTTGCCCAGTGCAGGGACACAATCATAGCTCACTGCAGCCTTGAACTCCTGGACTCCAGTGATCCTCGCACCTCTGCCTCCTGAGGATCTGGGACTACAGGCACACACCACCACACCTGGCTGATTTTTTATTTTTGTAGAGACAAAGTCTTACTATGTTACCGAGGCTGTTGGCAGCTCCATGCCAGTCATTAACTAAGTACCTTGCCCTTTTATTTCTAATCTATTTTAACCCTGGTGACAAGAAAATGTAAGCTGTAATCACTGGCACTTTTTAGCTACTGATAGTGGCCATCAACTTGGTGATACTACTCTCCGAGAAACAGACCTACTTTAGGGGAACCACTTCTGTGTCACCAGCTTATCCCCAGTGAAAGACGGTGGCGCGCAGTGAGACTCAACACCCTTTAAGGCCAAGAGATTTAATGGGGGTGAACGTAGTGGCTACAGAAACTGAGAATCAGATTGCAGCATGGAGGCAGGGGTGTGGCAGGTTTTATAGAAATTTAAAGCGACCTGTCGTCGGCAGGTGAGGTATTTTTGAGATTGGCAGGGGGTTTCGCGGGCACGGGAACAGTGGGCTTTGTTGTGGAAGAAAAACCTGGAGAGCCTTGTCCGAGCCTCCATGTTAGTTTGTCCGGGCGCCTTCTTAGGCGGGAGCGCCATTTTAGGTGGGGGCCACGCCTAGGCTTAGCCTTTGGAGGGGGCGGGTTCCTCGTGGCTGGCTGGCTTTCACCCAGTCTCCTATCACCTCCTTTCTCATTAATATTGGCCTTGTGGACATTTCTGACCCCCACAGATAGATCTCAAGGGTCCTGGGATCTTCCTTAAGCAGGAGGCACCCCATTTTACACAGCAATCAAAGTCACATTGATGTGAAACGCTAATAACAAACATGACATAATAGAAATAGTAATGATGTTTGATACCCTCATCTACAGCTCACCTTTACAGAATGTTTTCTTGGTGCTGGGCACTGCATTAAGTAGTCTATCCTCTTAAATCCTCACAACTTCATGAAGCAGAGTACAAATCGGGATATTGTAAAAGTGGAGAGTGGCCTCAGAGAAGGTAAGTAACCAGACAGGGCCCGGTCTCTGAACCCACTGTTCCATGTTCATGGGTCCCACACGTGCTCAATCACTCAGCCATTATCCCAGGATTACCTGCACGGATGCCCTTTTCCAAAAGGAATCCACAGCATTGTTTTCACAATCTTCTGCTGTAGGGCAGGATTGGTAATCCAGTCCTGAGGGGAAAGCAGACAAATTTTATTATTTTATTTTATTTTATTTTACATTTTTGAGTTGGAGTCTGATTCTGTCGCCCAGGCTGGAGTTGCAGTGGCATGCTCCAGGCCACTGCAGCAGTCTCGACTTATAGCCTCAGGCAATCCTTTCACCTCTCGATTTATAGCCTCAGGCAATTCTTTCAGCTCCACAAAATATATTTAACTTGCTTTCTGTACAATGTGAACGAGTTTAATATTCAGTTTTGCCCACCCACAAGGACCCTGGTGAGTGACCCTCTAGTCCATGATACAAAGACGTTTATCATTTCGCTCTGCTGGTGTGCAAGGAAGGTGAAGAACCAAGCAGCCGGTTGGTGAGTGAGCCTGACTGACCACTGAGCATCACCAGTCCTCTTTTGATGGGCAGCACGGTTGGTTCCATGTTCTTGATACTGTGAACAATTCTGCAATAAACTTACATGTGCAGATATCTTTTTCATAGAGTGATTTGAGTTCTTGCAGGTATATTCTGAGTAGGGGGATTGCAGGGCCATATGGAAAGTCGATTTTTAGACCTTTTAAGAATCACCACACTGTTTTCCACAGAGGCTGTACTAGTTTACACTCACATCAACAGTGTAGAAGTGTTCCCTTTTCACTGCATCCTCTCCAGCATCTGTTATTTTTTGAGCTGTTGATGATGGCCATCTGTACAATGTGGACGAGTTTAAGTGTATAACGTATGCCAAGAAGAAAGAGACAAGCCCCCGGTGGTTAAAAAGTTTATGAAGGAAAAAAGGGGGGGGCTGGCTCTATAGAGAGAAACCAGCGGCCTTTGTTCTCTTGCAGGCCACTTATAAAACCCCAATCGAAGCTCACCGGGCTCCGAGAAGCAGTTTAGGGAGTTTAGCTGTCGGTTGCCTGGTCGTGAGATGCAGATGTCGGCACTGTTTCAAGCTGCTGGACCCACAGCCTTGAAGTGCAGATGTACACACTAAACCAATCACTATCAGGGATGTTGTTACTCCCTTGTTTCTGAAATGCAGCCTTAGGAAAGCAAACATTGACAGTCAGAACCAGGATGAGTCAGTACCAGGATGTTATCAGTCACATAGCTTTGGGAGGCGGAAAGCAGATATTGGCAGTAACGCAGTTAGTAACAGGACGCTGTTAGAGCACATTATTAGCTTTTTGGGCTGTTGCAACTCACGATGAGTTGTTTTAACTACAACCTCCTCTCCCATTCCCCTACAAACTCTATCAAGGTGATATCTCAGTGTAGTCTAAATTTGCATTTCTTTGATGAGCATTTTTTCATGTATCTGTTTGTTGCTCTTATGTCTTCTTTTGAGAAGTGTCTATTCATATCTTTTGCCCACTTTGTAATGGGGCTGTTTGTTTTTTTCTTTTTAGCACATTTCAGTTCCTTATAGACCCTAGATCCTAGGTCTTTGCAGACATACAGCTGGCAAATATGTTTTCCCAGTCTGTGGGCTGTCTCCCTGCTCTCTTGATAGTTTCTTTGGCTTTGCAGAAGCTTGTCAGTTTGATGAGGTCCACTTGTCTAGCCTACCTCTTATGATTTGAACACTTGGGATTTTGATCAGGAATTGGTTTTCAGTTTCAATTTCCATAAGAGTGTCTCCTGCACTTTCTAAGGTTCTTATAGCTTGAGGTTTTATATTTAGGTTTTTGATCCATTTAGAGTTGATTTTTGTGTATGGTTATAGGTAGGGGTCTTGTTTTAATCATCTGCATGTGGTCAGCCATTTTTCCCAGCACCATTTACTGAATAGGTTCTCCTCTTCCCAGTGGTTGGTGGTGGAGGCTTTGTCGAAGATGAGTTGGTTGAGAAATTGAGAGTTTGCTTCTGGAATCTCTATCCTGTTCCATTGGTCTAGATGTCTGTTCTTGTACCAATACCAGGCAGTTTTGATTATTATAGCTTTATAATAAAGTTTAAAGTCTGGGAGTGTGATACCTCCCACTTTTTGTTTGTTTGTTTGTTTGTTTTTTTGTTTTTGCTGAGGATTGTTTTGGCAATTCGTGATTGTTTTGTTGCCATATGAATTCCTGTATTGTTGTTTCCAGGTCTGAGAAGAATGCTGCTGGTAATTTAATGGGTATTGCATTAAATCTGTAGATTGCCTTGGGTAGGATGGACATCTTAACAATGTTGATTATTCCAGTCCATCAGCATGGAATATTTTTCCATTTGTTTGTATCATCTTTGATTTCTTTGAGCAGTGTTTTGTAGTTTTCATTGTAAAGGTCTTTGACTTATCTGGTTAGGAAGATGCCAAGGTATTTCATTCTTCTGGGGCTATTATGAATGGGATTGTGCTTTTTATTTGGGTTTCTGTTTGTTTATTATTGATGTATAGAAATGTGACTGTCTTTTGCATATTTATTTTATACCCTGAGACTTTGCCAAGGTCCTTTATCAGTACAAGCAGCCTTTTGACAGATTCTCTTGGGTTTTAGAGGTATAGAATCATGTCATCTGCAAAGAGGGACAACTTGACTTCCTCTTCTCCTATTTGGATACTCCTGATTTTCTTCTCTTGTCTGATTGCTCTAGCTAGGACTTCCAAAACTATGTCGGACAGGAGGGGTGAGAGTGGGCATCCTTGTCTTATTTCGGTTTTCAGGGGAAATGGTTCCAATTTCTGTCTGTTTAGCAGTATGCTGGCTGTTGGTTTCTCATAGATGGTTCTTACTATTTTGAGGTATGTTCCATCTATGCCTAGATGTTTTAGGGTTTTTATCAAGAAGAGGTGCTGGATTTTATCAAAATTTTTTTCCATGTCTAATGATATAATCATGTGGTTTTTTTTTTTTACATCTGTTGATGTATTTAATTGGGCTTATGGTCTTATGAATGTTGAACCAGCCCTGCATCCTGGAGATGAAGCCTATTTGGTCGTGGTGGATGATTTTTGATATGTTGTTGGATCCAATGTGCTAGGATCTTTTTGAGAATTTTAGCATCTGGGTTCATCAAGAATATTGGCCTGTAGTTCTCTTTTTTTTGTTGGTTTGGGTATCGATGTGACGTTAGCATCATAAAATGATTTGGGGAGAGTTTCATCTTTCTCAATTGCCTGGAATAGTTTCAATAGAATTGGTATCAGCTCCTCCTTGTACGTTTTGTAGAATTCTGCTGGAAAGTCATCTGGTCCAGGGCTTCTTTTTGTGGGTAGTTTTCTTATGACATAGTAAATTTCCTGGATTGTTATTGGTCTATTGAGAGTCTCAATTTCTTCTTGTTTCAACCCGGGGAGGTCTCACCAAGCTTTTTCTTGGTCATTCTGGCTAGGGGTCCATCAATCTTATTAATTCTTTCAAAGAACCAGCTTTTTGTTTTGTTGATGTTTTCTATAATATTTTTGTCTTCTACGTCCCATATTTGGGCTCTTATTTTGGTGACTTGGAGTCTTCTGTTAAAGTTGGGGTTTTAGTGGTCTTCTCTTTCCGTCTCCCTTAGGTGATCTGTTAGGCTCTCCACTTGTGCTCTTTCCATATTCTTGTTGTGTGCTCATAGAGATATAAATTCTCCTCTTAGAACTGATTTCATGGCATCCCAGGGATTTTGGTAAGATGTTTATTCATTTTAATTTGTTTTCAGGTATCTTTTAAACTGTGTTTTGATTTCCATGTTGACCCAGGGGTTGTTTAGCATCATGCTGTTCAGTGTCCATGTCTTTGTAGGTTTGGGGGAAACTTTGTTATTGTTGATATTTATTTTTATTCCACTGTGGTCTGCATGAGCCTCCCAAGTAGCTGGGACTACAGGCATGTGCCACCAAGCCCAGTTAACTTTTTTCAGAGACATAGTCTTACTATGTTGTCTAGGCTGGTCTGGAACTCCAGGGCTCAAGCAATTGTCCCACCTTGGCCTCCCAAAGTGCTAGAATTACAAGAATGAGCCATCGCACCTGGCCCAAAAGATAAGCACTTTTTCTTCATTCACATTATTATTAATTATTGCCACCTACCTCAGGGAATTTGAGGAAGATCAAATTAGATAAATGCATATGAAAGCATAGTAAATAGGAGCTCATACATTTCTTCTGATTTGCGCAGAAGTCTTACCAGAGGCATTTTCCTGTCGACACCAACTCAAAAAATCTCCAACTCTGCCATACAGAACATCATTCAGGGGCGTAAAGCGACGAGTGTTTTGTGAATAGCTAGTAACAAGGAGGTGGTTATTTTCCCAGAACAGGGACTAAGAGAAAATAAAGAGAAAATTAAAATACAAAATAGAATCAAAATAGATTTCTCAGGCACAATATCATCAAGACCAGTCAGGCAATCCATTTCTCATTCAACTCTGGCCTACTGTACAACTGAACTTTCTTTCTGTCTTTATTTACCTGTTCAAAGAATGCTGCCATCTCTTCTCCCTTTAGTTCAAGGGGATCATGCAAATGTTAAGGAAATATTTACCCTGCAGTACAAAATATATATGCATGTGATAAGGCCCACACATGAAAAATGACCGTGGGACCTGGGTTCGAATCCTCACTCTGTCATATACTAGAAGGGTCATCTTGACCAAGTCATGCAACTTCCCTGTGACTCAGTTTCTACTTCTGGAGAATGTGAAGCTTGAGCCCTCTCTTTTCATCCACGGTTGTGGTCAGAATAATACACAACCCCCAAAGGCACTTCCTAAAATGTAAAGTGCCTCGGAAATATATTACTTTTATATTATACCTTATAGTCGCTACCATAAATAGCATTTTTGTAATATGATAATACAATACAAATACAAAAAACAATAATACAAATCAATCCCCCACTTCTCATCTCATCTGATCTTCAGCGGTCCAACTGGTCTATCTCTACACTGGAATGTCCCCAAGGACAGGGGCTGTTGTTTTTCACTGTTGCATACTTAACCCCTAGCACAATGCCTAGTATACAGATGTAGCTCGGTAAACATTTACTGAATTCTTCAACTAGCACCAAATCTATGAGAGAAGAGAACAAAAATGATGCTTCCCTTTTTTACTGACAGGGAGGCAGCAAGGTTCAAAATGTAACCTATACTTAAAAATGTTTTCAGTCTATTATATCTTTGAAACTGACAGCTCCATTTGTCTTCCACCCCCCATTAATAACACACAATGGATAAATCAGGTCAAGAACCTGTGTCAGAGAAATAAAAGTGGTATCTAACTTTCTGTAAACTCAAGGTATTGTTCTAAGCAAGCATTTTATGTAGATTTTTCACTTGTCATTTATATTAGAGTGTAGACAGAATATAGATATGTGGTTTTTTAAAGAAATTGGTACTGAATAAATGTAATCTTAAGACCCATTAAAAGAAGACATTGGTCTCCTGAGAGAATACTTAGGATGAAGGTTTTCTGAATTACTTAAGGTTCACGCCATTGGGCCAGTTAGGATGGAGGTTATTTAGAAATAGCCAGAGGTTGAGGTCCAGTGTGAAAGGTATGGTCAGTCCTGATGTCCTTGTGGTGATTCCCGCACTGACTTGCAGAATTGGGAAATGTCCTTCCGCCCACAACTGGGCAAGAGACCCAGAATCACTGCTAGGGACTAAGCTGCCTTCCCACAGAGACACCAGCACAGGCATTGTGAGTTTGTTGCTAGATGTTTCAGTGACACTGCAGGATTGCAGGATGCTGGGGGCAGCTAGCCTCACACCTGGCCTTTGCACCATCCATCTCCATGGAGACAGAAGGATGTTTTACCCAAGATGGTTGTAGAGTTACCTTGTCTCTAGGAATAGAGTGCCTGGAGAGGTTAATAAAAAGGTCATAGTCCGAGGGAAGCACATTACAGGGATCCTTGTCCAGCACTCCATTAAAAGCTTCCCAGATGGCTGTGCAGTTCTTGTCCCTGTGCAAAAGTACAAAGTGGGAAAAAATCACAATGTGATGTGAAATATTTCCATTTTTCTAACTGATTTTGTCATAGATCGATGCTGCAGAACTAGGTATACAAAAAAGGCAACGAACTGTCATGGCTTAGGTGATGGATTTAGAAATCTGATGTTGGAAGTGTCTCTCAGAAGGTGCTGCAGAGATTTCCCAGAGCTAAAGAATAAAGGCCTGGCACGGTGGTTCACACCCGTCTGTAAGCCCAGCACTTTGGGAGGCCTAGGTGAGAGGACTGCTTGAGCCCAGGAGCTTGAGACCATCCTAGGGAACATATTGAGAACTGTCTCTTTTTTTTTTTTGAGTTGGAGTCTCACTCTGTCACCCAGACTGGAGTGCAGTGGCTGCTCCCAGCCACCGCAGCCTCGACCTGCTGGGCTCTGGCGATCCTTCCGCCTCAGCCTTCCGAGTAGCCGGAATTACAGGCGGGCACTACCACG